TCGAGTGATTCAAGTCTGATGTTAGTTTGTTAAAATTTTTTATAAAAAAGTTTTTTTTGGAGAAGGGTTATTTTTTACTGAAAAAATTGTTTTTTGGTGAAGTTTGACCGAAGGGCTTTCGAAGTCGAGAAGTACGAATCTCAAGTCAGGTTTTACATATTATATAAACAGAAACTTCAGTGATATTATAGAGGATGATTTCTACGAGAAAGAGCTGAGCGAGTCCACAGACGAGCGTTACTTGTTGATATCTGACAATATTTCAGATAAGATAGTTGAAAGTTTTTCAGATAAATATCATTTTGATTTCTAACTTTATCAATTGTTTTTATTGTTAATGAAATTAACTTTGGAAATAAATAAACAGAATTACCCAGGACGATCGTTCCTGGAAGCAGTATTCCCCTTATTTCCCGTGAAAACCCGCAGGATATTTATAGTATCCGCGCCGAAAACCACGATAAAATACTCGGAATCCCGTTGAAGGAACCGGTAACCGTATCCGACTAATGGTTATGGCGGGTTCTTGCTGAGGGTGAGGGTGTGGGTGTGGGTGGGTGTGGGTGAGGGTGTGAGGGTGATGGGTGAGGGTGAGGGTGTGGGTGAGGGTGCTGGGCAGGCTGCAGCCGATGACGCCATGCGCAGGGTCAATGTGAACGGGATTTGTTACGATTGGTTGGCTGATAATTCATGGTCATATGGTGAATGAATTATTAAGCAGTGTTTAATAGTCGGATGCCGATTTCTTGGTAATCCGTTGATTGATAATAAGTAATCGGTTGGTTAATATTCAATGAACAGTTACCTAATAGTTAATAATGGGTCAACCCAGGATTTATGATCAATCACTTACGTGTTGATAAGCGGAAAACGCGAAGCTTCGAATTCTAAATTGCAGAAGTTTAAAACTCGAAGAAGATGTTTACTACTCGAATCGAGTTAACGATTTCTACACTACTCTGAATTTGGTGGAAAATACCGAAAAGAAAAATGTCGAAAAAAAAAGAAAACATCTTTATATGGAACTTTTCTTTTTCTTTTTTCGTCGTTTTCCTATTCGACATTTTTCTTTTCGGTATTTTCCACCAAATCCGTTGTGAGATAAAATTTTACATGTATGTTTATCTTTTTTTGATAACGATAAGTTGTTTGATATGAAAACAATTTCATCTTTTACATTTTATTTCGATGAAATTATATGGAATTGATGTCAAGTTCGTGTGATGTTTTATGTAATGGATCTGTGGAAATCGAAAAATCAACATCGTCTACATTACACTATATAGCTGAAAATGTTACAAAAGCAGTTAAAACTATAGCTAAACAACGTAATTTAGAAACAACTGTTGTATTTGATCATGTAGCTCCTATTGACATTTGCGTTTTTGGACGCTCTGGCATAGGTAAATCAACGTTAATCAAAGCTATTACTAATCTAGATATTCCAGAATCACCTCAAATCGATCATGTTACCGAAGTAGTAACAGAAGTGACTACTTATATTGGAGCATTAAAAGTTCGTTTTTGGGATACGAAAGGAATCGATAATTGGCTAGATATAGATATTATTGATAATATGTTCAATGAAATGAATAAACTAAATGTAAAACCGCTTTTCATTATTTATTGTGCAGCGACCAACGGACGTGTTGATAGTGATATTGCTGCTGGGATATTAACCCGTTTCCAACGACAAAATATACCCATCTGTTATGTTATTACAAACATTTATGCAGCAAGTGATGAGCAATTAGAACAACAAATTGAAGGTGGACGAAGAATCATGAAGCGAGTTTTTGGTTCGTCACCAAAATCAAACGGAGATTTATATTACACATACGAAAATACATGTACTGCAAACGAAGGATATTGCAAGGAAGGAATTCTTATTGGTGTTAATTCTTGTGTATTTTCCAATAGAATGGGAACACAACCTTTATTTAATATACATGAATTAATGGATTTTTTAGCTGGCGCTTTGAAAGATGAAGATTTTACGAAATTTGTTGCTTTAACAATGGCTAATCGAGATTTTTGGGATAGAGCAAAGGATGCAATTCGAACACGCGTTTTAAGAATCACCGACACATTAGATAGTTGGAAAATAAAAACTGGTTCATTTATTAAACGATTATTCGGCCGTGAATAATCCATGAAGAATAATTAACTATTAATTACATACAAATAATAAGTTTTTTTCTTCTTACGTAAAACTATTTCTTTATCAAGAAAATTCACGTTAATTGTTCTTGTAAAACGTATTGATCAAAACAAATAAATCCAGAAACTTCGGATTTTATCCGAAAGTTAGGTGTACGACAAAAAGTGTATAAGATGGAAGATATAAGAAGTCATAGAGAAATATCAATAGTTTTTCAATAACGCAGCAATCAGTCGTCTACACATTCTGATCTTCGAATTTTAGCGTGATTCTGATGTGATAATATGCCATCGAAAATTTTATCACAATCAGATTAGCTTTTCAGGAGTTGTCGTGTAAAATAACGGTGGAGATACATTGATTGGTTCTGTGTGGTAATCAGCTCACTTTATCAGTATACTATAACACTGGGACGCTTGAAATCTGTTCTTAGTAACATATTGTTGACACTTTGGCTGCATTCAACTGAAGAACACATTTTGATAAAAACCATGTTGTTAAGCGCTTTTCTACGGTTTACATCATCCAGCTGTTAGCGTTTGTGATGAATCACACAACGCTAGACTAGAGATTAAGATCCATACTCGATATATTTTAATATATTTTCACATAATGATAGTCTCGTCATTGAACTAGGCTCATTTTATTATCCCATATATTTTGATTTTTTACCAGTTTTTCGTTTAGCTACCATTCTTAAATTTCCTTCATCATATCTTATTGAAAGTATAAATCCATGTAATTCAAATCCATGTAATGAAAATTCATCTTGTAAACCAATCTTAAATCAAAATCAATCATTTTATTGCTCTTGTAAATCTGGATACAGTGGTGAAATTTGTAATAAATATCGTCCGGAATGTTTAACATATTGTTCTCCTAATTCTATTCGTCGACCAAAACATCGCGGGTTAATTGTCAGTATAGATCGTCCTCTATGCATATGTTGAATTGATCATTTCGGACCTCGATGTTACTTAAAAAATTACGCATGTAAATCAAATCCTTGTGGAACATACTCGTCATGTTATCTCACTTATGATCCGAGTGGTGAAAATCCTTTTATATGTTTGTGTTCCGAACAATTTTATGGTGATCGTTGTCAATTTGAAAAAATACCTATTCGTGTTGAGATAAATATGACAATATCGACAACAATTATGGCTACTGTTATTCAATTTTATTCAATTTTAAATGAATCAATGGCTCTTGATTTATCTCATCAAATAGTTAATCATGGTTTCTTACGAATTATTCAATATTATCATAGACAAACACGAATTCCACCGATAGCAATTTTAAAGTTATATCCCAGGTCATTTCCGCTCGGTCGGAACCGGCTGGTTCCTCATATTTCTTTGCCGCCGGATTCCGGCCGGATTTCTACAGGATTTTACCGGCAAATTCCCACTGGATCCAGACAGAAACGACGACAATTGAGAACGAGCTGGACCCGGTCACCATCAGGAACCAGCTGAATCCGGTGACCGTCAAAAACCACTTGAATCCGGTGACAATCGAGAATCAGCTGGATCCGGTGACCATCGGAAACCAGCTGAATCCGGTGATAATCGGGAATTACCTGGATTCGGTTGGGACAACACTACTGCGACCATTTATTTCTGTGATAACTTCGATTCTATCTAGCTCCTCCGACAGCTTCAACATCTCTTTTCGCCTGTTTTCAGCCTAGATCTACTACACGTTACAAGCATCGCTCTCAAACGAATCAAGCGTACTCACCAACTTATTAAATTCACAGTAACAATCGATTTTCGTCCGAAANGGAGGAGAGCGATGGCGTTTCCGGTGCAAGGGAATGACTGGAGCACGTAGGAAATTTCCTCGTGTAGTCCGGCCGGAATCCGGCGGCAAAGAACCGGCGAATATCCGGTGCTATCCAGCTGTTTTCCGAGACGGAACCTGCAGAATTGTATCGTTTTCCGATGTTTTCCGTCTCGGTTCCGTGCCGGTTCCGGCGGCCAGAATGCTCGACCTGGGGAGTTCAAGCGTCCAGAGACGACTCGAAAAATTTTTTTCAATAGTGATTCTGAAAACCCTGATGATGAGGAATCCAAATCTGTCATCAGAATTTCTAAAGCACAAAGTAGTGCAAAACTATCTGTGTTACAAAGAATAACGTACTTTAAAAAACCGCTCAAAAGGGTACTTGTTATTTGGACTAGAACTCTTCACCAAAGCATCTTATAACTTTGGTCCACGAGCAAAGAAGTCTTAGAATTGATTGTTACACAAGTCCTGAAAGTTTCAAGCAATTTGGAGAGGGTCGGTGTAAACGTGTCACAAAATCCTATGGAATCACCCAGTATATTGATAAGCAGTTTTTAAGAGTAGGGCGCGATTTTTCATCATAAGAACTTCATTTTTCGACTGAAAGAACTTGTTAACCCTTTGCGTCGCTGAACAGATATGATTTTTTTAAAGTGAGCCTCATGGTAGCTGCAGTTTTTGACGCTCTTTCAAATAAAAAAATATATCTATGTTCAATGAAGTCTCACAGAGAATTTTTGGAGATACAAACAGGTACTCGTTACCCTTGTGTGGTAAATATTACGTATGATAATGAGCTGAAAATTTTATCACAACCTCCTCTCATCAGTACCAACAAACGCTGAAAGTTTCACGTTTATACCACTGCCATTATCTGAAATGTGATTTTGAGGGAGGGGGACGCCTTAAAAGGAATTTTTCTCTTTTGTTTCTACCAAATACATCCCCAGGTCGAACATTTGTGCGTTTTTCAAAATTAACATTAGGGTCAAAAGGGAAGCATCATTTCACAATGCATTTCTGTGGTTCTATCTTGCGAAGAATTTGTTTGACCTTACAACGATCATCATCGAAATCAATCAACCTTTCGATTTACTTTTATCGTTTTGAGCAGAATATTCCTGTGCATATTCTAGCAATTGTGTCGAACAAAATAGAACACCTCGACTGATCTTGCAATGGAGAAACGGCGGTTCTCTTCATGTATCAAAGGACTAAAAATCGTCTGAATAGTTAATGCAGTGCGAAGCACAGCATTTATCAAGTTCGACGCGAGTTTACTTTTTTCTTCTTTTTCGACGTACGCATCAAAATCGTCTTTTTGTGTCGCGGTGATCTCGTGACCGTTTTTTGTCTGATTCTCTTTAACCCTTTGAGTCCCGACTTTTTTATGGAGCTCATTTTTGATGAAACTATGCTAATTTAGCAGATGGCAGCTAAAGACCACCAATTAAGCTACAACAAACACTGTGTTTATCTACTAGTATGTGTATTCAGAGCAGAGCGCTAGACGGAACAATCAGAATGAAAAAGTTTGTCAGGTGTTTCCCTCGGATCCTAACTACGAAAAAAGGATGATAATATTCCTTATAGATCGTGGAAATCTGAAATAATTTTGAATTTCTTTCAGAAATGTACCTTTTGTTAGGTGGTACATATATGTACCACTGGGACTCAAAGGGTTAAAGAAAATATTTGTTTTTGTNCCGTTTTACACACACATATATATATGTAACGTTTTTCATCTAATAAAGCAGAGGTCTTCATATAGCGATTATTTCCATCTACGGAAATACCATTCTTCACACGGTATTGTTATTAATCGTCAAAAACGAATATATTATTATGAGTTGACGATGCAAAATCTTATCAAAAAGGGTGCATCCTTTCCAATTACTGTGATGCTCAGTGAATCTCATGGTACGGGAAATATAGTGCATTGGATGAACTATTTTAAAGAAAAATACAAAGAAACTTTTGGCTTTCGAAATACATTCCCCAAACCACCAATTATTCATAGTGACCGTGCTCTCGTATTCTTGCTAGCTGCGATTGAAGTTTTTAACTTCGATGAAACAATGGCTCGGTACATAGAAAGATGTTGGCGCATAGTTCAGGGAACAGCTAACAAGCGTGACTTAGAACTAACTATCATTCATGCTTGTTTAGGCCATTTTATGAAGAGTGTAAAGAGAAATGCAACTAAAGAATTATCGAAAAAAACAGGTAGAAACGTCTTGTACTTACTTATTTTTTCTACAGGTCGAAGGTCTCTTATTTATATTTCAAAGGTTCCATTTGGTATGTGGTTAGCGGCCTTGCTTGTGAATAGCAGCACTTTTGATGAAATGATAATTGTTTGGGAGAATATCTGTATTGTATTAATTAGCACAAATCAAAATGATCGATTTAAAATGTTACTATCATTGCTGTCTCAAATGGCAGATAAAATGAATAAAGAGCCGGATAAAGCCAATGATGTATTGAAAAATGTAACAGTAACATCAAAAATACAATGTCAGAGTGATTTAGACAAAAATGTAAGTAGCTGTATTGTGAGTATACAATAGCACATTAGCACTTCTCATCATACATCACCTCGTATATTCAATCTTCATAAGCACATCGTAATTTCAAGAGCCAATGAAATCATTATTTCACTATCTGCAACTTTTTCTTCCTTTCGTTGTATTGTCTAATTGTGTTGACCGATGCATACATTACGAAGCGTACATCGAGATGAGAGTATGCGAGTGAGAGAACAAGAACGAAGTAGACGGATATGCAAAGGAAAAATGAAAATAGATACGTGAAAGGCAGATGCGATTGAACAAAAGTTAAAAGAGAAAAGAAGAAGAATGGAGAGCAGAAGAGGTGAAAGGATAGTATCGATGTGGCGTTATGAAATGATTCGAAGAAAAGGAAAGCTGATTAGAAATTGTTTGCAAGTAGGATGGATTAAATGTTCCAAATAGAATCTAACGTAACATGATCTCATTGCACACTATTTTTCTTGTATAATCTATTTTATTTATTTAGTAGCATTGGTAGAGAGTTTCTAAATAATCCACGATCGTGTTTAAATAGGCATACGAAAACGATGAAAATGATCTACCACTCGGTGAAGAAGATGCTGTTCTTCAAATAGAATCACCATTCAACGAATTATTCACCAGAATTTACGAAGAATGTAAAGAAACGTTAAAAGTATATGACGAACCGCAATGGAACAACTTGCCGAATAATCCATTATTCTCAGCAGCGTATTTAACACGTTTATTGAAACTTTATATGCCGACTGAACCAATTTGGAGTAATCTTTTGTTAGGCAATTTCACAAGTCGATATGGCTATAATTCAAACTTTGCGACAGTGCCATGTTGCTGTCACACAGGACGAACAACAGGTGTTTCTGAATCTCGAATGAGAGTGCTGAAAGAAGCAATTTAAAGACGCAAAGTATACTCACGAATTGATGAAGTAGTAGCTAAATTGGGAGAAAGTATTGAAGCAGTTGAATGCCAATTTGCAGATTTGATATTTATGAAAAACAATAAAATCACGTGTTGCCAGCAATAAAACAAAAGAAAGCAGCAGAAACTTGGGCAAAACGCACCAAAACAACTGCAAGTATTCATGAAGGATATACGTCTGGAAGTCCAAATTTAAATCTTACCGAAATGATGAATGCTGGGTCAAAATGACGATGAAAATTTAGGTAATGTATCTATAGTCAGGAAAAGTTCTCGGGCCATTTAATTTCGTTGACGTGTTGTTGAATATTGGAGAACAGTTAACAGTAGTTTTCGAAATAATGAGAAGATTGATTTAAAAAGTTATAAGGTTATATATTCGAAAAACTAATATATCTGTTTTAGCCATTGGACAGTTACCAGAACTTTTGAAGTTCGAAAACAAAGCTAACAATTGTTGGTTTAATAGTATAATGCAAATGATTTTAACATCCGGACAAATCGTCGAAGCAATCATACGCATGGGTCCTGTCAATGCCGATGTAGAACCTTTGGTTGTTATGGTTATTGCTGATATTCTGCATTCATTAACGAACAAGCACAAAAGTCGCAACAAAATTGGGAAAACAATTGTAGATCAGAAATTTATTTCAGAACAACTTCTACATCTCGTGTCGGCTGGTGTCAACATCAGGATAGGAAAATACAATTGTATGNGAGAAAGTGTTCTATTATGACCTAACCTATACAGTTCGATAGCGAAAAAGATTCTCTACAAAATACACATTTAATAGATTATCTTATGTTCGAATCAACGAAATAGTGCAGTCATTTGCAGTTGGAACCAAAAACGGTTTTTGGTCGCGATGCTAGATCCTAGTTTGAAGATGCCTGTGATGACATATAACACAAGAGATAATATATGATAAGTATATCCTGTATTGAATCGAAACAAATCGAATCTCTACTGTATGTTCTTCGTCCTTTCATAGTTCTCAGTACATACAGTATTATGCTACAGAAAAATATCAAGCTTTATAATAAATAATATCTAAGATCTATCGCTCTCATGCAATGAGTTGATGAGCCAGATGGTCATGTGATCATAGTCTTTTCAAAACACAAAGAGCAGAAACAGTCGTACATACGAGTGCGTTTCTGATATCATGCAATATCATATCAATGGTACATAATAAGAAAAGATAAATCTATCAATATCTCTATGTTGGGTATATGGATTAAGAAGCTAATGTCGAAGTTCATATGGGAAGGAAGAAAGCAGATAATTGTTGTATATGAAGAGGAAGAGAAAGAGAAAGAGAGGAGAGAGAAGAGGAAAAGTATACAATCATAGATTGTCATAATACCAAATATGTAAAATATCTATAGTTTGAAACTTAAATTCAACAGTCTACCCTTCCGTTCAATTATTCGAGTATTCGTATACTTGCGAGCGAGTAAAAGGGTTCTGAAGGTACATCATTTCAGTGAGGATGAACGGAAGAATTTTGAAAGCAGCCAAATATTATAATGATTGAAAAAAAGACTGCAAAAATAGTTGAGTCGAAATTTCGAGTTTCGCATTACTAAAAGACGCAAGGATCATAGTAGCTATTCATAGCGGACCGCTGTTTCATGTGTGAAAAATGATCATGAATAATGGACATTACATAAATAACAAGAACGATGACAGTTCTTTTGTTGGTTTTGGAAAAGGTTGAAATTGACGAAGACCGTTCCCGAGACATCATTTGGAAGCGCAAGTTTTATCTGAAGTATAACCCAATCAGTCGAGGGTAATGCGAGTCTCCTTCGACAAGCGTTATTTTATCTTTAGTGCAGGCTTGATAAATACATAAAAGAATCATACAATTCGATGTTCTTTCTAGAGTAGTCTGTTTAAATGTTAATGATGAAGTATTTTGTGGTAAATTTATCGGATAAATTTTCATAGAAATAAAATGAATTGATTTTAAATTAATAAATTCTTCATCGAATCGTGGGAATTCATTGGGAAAAAATGATATTGGATTGTGCATCAATTCCTCTGATAATTGCAGATTTTTACAAATAAAAGTCAAGTTTTGATCTATGTATTCGACGAAAATCAAGTTTTAATGGATATGTACCAACAATTTGATTAAACCGGTCATTTGTTCCAATAAAACTATGGAATACATTTCGTACATCCAAATAATCAAATATTTCAAAAAATATTTCTGTCGGCAATGCATCCGGACATGAATTCATTTTTTTCGATAATATGCAGGACACACTATTTTTCAATTCTTTTATATTCGATAGTAAAACTGGTCACATTTCTTTGGGATGAAATTGTGGAATTATCCACATCTTCTTAACAGACTGTCATGGTTTTTTTCCTTTTCCTCGTTGAATTATTCAATATTTACACAGACATATATATATATATATGTTCTATACTTTCACCTGGCCTCTCTTCTTTCCTTAACCAAACATAGTGCATTTTACTACAAATATTAACAGATCACATTTTTAAAAAAGCCTCAATGTTTTTTTTGTAAACTTTCATCTATTATTAGGTCTACGTCTTTCCAAGAAGTAAAGGGATGACCAACGCTAGTTTTTTCTTTACTGTGTAATATACGTAAATTAAATAGTATCATCTGATTGCTGTTTGATTCTCATTCTTGATCGACTAATCTGCAAATCCTCTGGACTCATTATCAGAAAAATCAAATAGGAGTTACAATTCAAGTTGAGTTGCCAAACTAATAACCGATATTTCTTGTTGTCTTCTGAGAAGATTTTTCATTCAATTCAATTAATCTGAATGTTTGCTATGAGATTGATGTTCGACCATTTCTTCGTTTGTTTTTATTTGTATCAGATACTAATAAAGTTGTTCTAAGGATGTTGATATGTTTAGGCGTTTGTAAGTGTGAGTAGAGGTGTAAGCCGAGCGGCCCAGCCGCCGCCGCCGTGTGAGAGATAAAAATATTAAATTTTTACATAATTCTAGTTCTGAAAACGACTTTTTCGGTCATTCGAGTCTAGTTTCTCACTGTAACACTTTGTATAATTCGTTATTCGTTGTTTTCGATCAAACGTCCCAAGAAATTAGAAAAAATTTTTAAAAAATCTTTGGAAATTTCTAGCCGCCGCCGCCATCGCCGCTGACTGGGCCATCGGCGTACACCTCTAAGTGTGAGATACTTCTAATGATTCACCCTCATTCTCAGTAGTTAGTTCAGATTTCACTTTTCCTTCCTTGGAAAGATGTGATAGGATATACATTTTCAATAAGGATAAAGTTTTATTTCATTAATATTTCATCAAAAGGTCTCGTGATTAAAGAAAATATAAATGATAATGTTGAATTCAAATTTAAAGAAGAGGAAATTGAACAAGTCAAATAAAACGTTATCGAACTCTATTGTCAACCATTGCTTGGTACAACCACTCGAACAGGCCAGAAATCATAAGTCTGATGAGTAGAGGAATTTTGACATCTAGTGGCAAATAACACACCTTCATCTAACATAACATAATATGTAACTCCAATAGTCCAATTGTAGCTTGTTAAAAATATAATCTCGTCATTAATGTAAAGAACGTTTGATGATGTCGAACAGTCAATGTTATATACGACTGGCCCATTGAATGTCCGAAAAGATATATTAGCTGGAAATGATGGTCGGGCAACCATCTGATTGACTAACGAAAATTGAAAGAAATGTATTTGATCGATAGAATTTTTATTGAAGCAATACCTTTCATGACCCAATAGCTATTATTTCGATCCATTAGATCATAAGGAGTTTTTCGAATGACCACCTGGCTATCGACACTAGTAGTAAGCATAATGAGAACAAAGAGTTTTGTAACAGAAAACATTGGTAATTTCCAATTAACTACCATTATAAGATATTCAAATGATGAAAGACAGTGAGAAACAACTCCTTTTATAGCAGACTGAGACATTCATACAAGAACACACATGCGAAATTTTCTTTTATTAGTTTTGGCAAGGAAGTCCAAAGGGTCGAATTGGAAAAATGTATTCAAATTTTTAGATTTTCAAGTATTTAATGTTCTCCCTCTTAGAACTTTTGGATTCATATTTGTATTGAATCTTTGAAACTTAAGTGTTTGAATATAAGCTACAATGCACATGAAATTAATCATTGATTACTAATCAAGGAAAAGAAAGTAAATATGGAGAAAGGCAAACACTTTAGGTATAAGTGATCTGGATATATTTATCCAGGGCTTAATATTCTCTCTTCTGTTTGTTCTGCAAGTTTATTGATATCATCCTGATCACAGAAAAATTTATATCCTCATTCTTTCAGTCTTGCATAAATTGTCTTCTTTTCGATAAATAAACTGACAAGAGAATATTTTTGAGTGTATCCACTGAGATAAAGCTTAGAAGTATTTTGTTGTGAAGTAATTATGTTGTACATCTCGAATATCAATATTTTAGCTATCCACGTTAAAGTCGACAGAACAGCACTTTTAAATGTTTTTCATCATATGCTAAATTCTACAATACGAAGTCATATTTTATCATTACGTTTTTCTGAATTTTCAAGCAAATACTGGCTTTTCGGGGACAGAAGCTGCATAAATAAAACTTTCATTCATTTTATGTATCTGATTTACTATAAAAGCCAGTATTTGCTTGAAAATTCAGAAAAACGTAATGATAAAACATGACTTCGTATTGTAGAATTTAGCATATGATGAAAAACATTTAAAAGTGCTGTTCTCTCGACTTTAATGTGGGCAGCTAAAATGTTGATATTCGAGGTATGCAACATGATCACTTCACAACAAAATACTTTTAAACTTTATCCCATAGTAGATATACTGAAAAATGTTCCCTTGTGAGGTGTGTTCGCATATGATGCTCTTGATATTGTGAGCCCAAGTGATCGAAATATTGAATTTTCAGACATTAACTGTTGCTTGGGTTCAGAAAATATGAGTGGTTGTAGTGGACGAATATTGTTTCTAGTATCATCGCCATTTTCAATCTGACCTATCAAATAGGTTGATAGGAAAGCAATGAGAGAATATTATCTTTCATTTCTTATACAGTGGAAAATACATTGTGGAATATTCCCAACGTAAGATGAGTTTATTTGCGACAATAAAATATTTATTTTGATAAGTAGGAAATATCTCATATTATATTCTCCTTTCTAAATTTGCTTTTATCTATCATTTACATTTTCTATTAACCATCCTAATCAATTCCTGAGTATATTCGAAGATATTATATATTGCGAAAAAAGGATGTAATAATTTGAAAATATAAATAGTTTTATAAAACTCGACAAGTTTGATCAAACTATATAAAAGTATCAATATAACTCTATCGTCATTCAATAATTGATAAAAGGTTCATTTGCAATCTGAAACTGAAGTTTTATGTTTTTAAAGAAAATACATAGTTAGATTATTTATTGATATAAAGACACAAGATAAATCAATTACAAAAAGCGAAATGAGAATATTTTTTCAGCGGATAAAACAAAATCACATTTAAAAAGCTAAAAGATGTTCACAATAATTGTATATTCCATTCATCAATATTAATATTATCTTATTTGACAAATGATGTCAGTATTTATAAGATAAAAATGAAATAAATACGAGAAACTAAAGTAAATATTTGACATGAAAACTAGAAATTAAAAACTGTATAGTTGAACTTCAGAATATTGAACGCAATCTGATTGATTTTGTCTGGCATGAACCAGAAAACGATAGCTTTTGTATTCAATTGTATTATTGAAAAGTTGAGGTAGACCACATACATTTCGAGCAGTAATATTTTCAAGTCCACTGGTATCATTATATAGGAGAGTCCAACTTATACCAAGAGTAAGATTGGCTTCTGATTGATTACTTCCTTCTAATGAAACAATCATTGGATCACGTTCCCTACGATCATTAGCAGTACATATTCGTATTCCATTAATGAGTGTTAAACCACGTTCGAGTTCGAAATAAAAACCAGTATTTAAACCACAATACTTCTGATTACCTCCTTCACGACATCCACCAAAGCTAACATATTTTGTTTTTAAATTCCCATCACATGCCTTGTCTGGTGATTCTTTGTCTATATAGTTACCAATATCTTTACCAGGTGTTGATTTCATACTATTACCACCTATAGTCGTATTAAAGATACCATTTACTTTATTCTTCACAACAAGCTTTATTAAATCTAAAAGTTATTGGTATTATATATATATATATTTCCTTTCGAATATGATATTTTCAATCAATATATTAAGATTTATCTTATCGAACTATACCTTTTTCTGTTGTTGTTGTCACCTTTGTTGTAGTCTTTGTTATTGTCCTTGTTGTTGTAGTCTTTGTTATTGTCCTTGTTGTTGTAGTCTTTGCTATTGTCCTTGTTGTTGTAGTCTTTGCTATTGTCCTTGTTGTTGTAGTCTTTGCTATTGTCCTTGTTGTTGTAGTTATTGATATTGATTGACTTTTGTCTTGTCTAATAATAACTGTTGGAATGAGAATACCTGTTATGATAGCTAAGACAACAATAACTATTAAGATCACAAAGAAAAACTTTCTTTTCCGGTTTCGACAACAAGATCTAGAAGAAAATTTCATGTTTATCTTTGATATTCTTTGAGACTTTTCTAAATTCTACATACGATGTATTCTGTTCTTCTGTAGTTGTTTTGATGATCGATTTGGGCTTGGTTGAATTAGACTATAACAAAGAATAAAGGTAATACATTGATACTGTTTTATTCGAAACTTTACATCATGAATTTGATGAAGATTTTCTTTGACAACTGTAATTTTATTCATGCTTATATTGTTTATAATAATCAATTTATAGCATTGACAATCAACTAAAATAAAATAATATAAAAAGAGTGTTATGATGATGATTATTTGAGAATTATTAAACTCAAAGAGAATATTTAAGACTGTCTTGATAATGAAAGTACATGAAAATTATACATATTTATATTATTTTTTGGGTTCAGAAAGTAATAGATGTAGCGACAGATTATTGCAATTTCTGAATATCAAAATTCTTCTCATATGTGTTGATGTAAAACTTCGAAAGTATAAACGAGAACTATAATCTTTATCATACTACCAACGATAAAAGTCTTGAGAATCGTATTTTTCATCTAATAAATGCGGAAACATCGGATTTTATCCGATAGTGATGTGTACTCTAAAAAGTGTACGAGAAATTTCCTACAGAAAACTCTGAGTCTCATAAAAGAATTTTCCAAAAAGTTATTAACCACAAGTTCTAGCAGCTGGAACTTACCAGCAGAAACGCCATATTGCTGTTACACTTATTTCGCGAAAAGCTCAGGACCGTTTGGTAGAATTTGAACAGTCCGGTAAAATACAAGAATGCTATCATCGTAAAGCTGCAGGCCTTTAGCTATCCCTACACTATGATAGAAAATAATCCATGAATACTTCCCCCAAATAGGACTCCAGGACTTATGAGTATCCCTATAATACAGAGTACAAGGACTCATGAATACCTCCACTATATAGGACTCGAGGATCTATGGGTACCCTCATAGTATAGGACTTCAAGAGCCAAGGGTTTCTTTATGGGACATAATATTAGGACATGGGGGCTCTGATGAAACTGTCTATAGGAGTTTATGTGTCAGAAAAAAGTTTTCTTTTGAATATCCCTGTATTCCCCCCTCAGGCCCCGTAGGTTGACTTTTTAGTATTTTTGCGATATCTCAGCCACTTCATGACGGATCCTTCTCATCTTCGAACTCGACCGAGATATTGATAAGACAGTTCTGCACAAAAAAAAATCGTCCAATTGTTTGTAATTTTGAAGAGTTATCGTGTAAACGGCCGGACGGACACACTGACCGATTTTAGTAGTGTGCTCACTTTTTGAGTACACAAAAAACATCTAAATTTCAATGAAACAAAGATTTCTTGGATATATTCGGAATAAAAAAAATCAATATGACAATATATAGTATGTGAGTGTATTGTTCGAGTCTTTTTGGTGAAATTTAATGGTTTCTCATTACATATTCAGCATCCTTGCTGTTCTCTTATTTTTAATTTTACCTGATGCTATTTGTATATTAAGTCATAGATTTCTAACCGTTTTATCATTTTCCGTTCTCGAAGAAGTATGATTTACTACTTATCATCGAAGTGAATTTATTTCCATCGAGATCGATTGATTATGTGTTTCTATAAAATCCTGACTTAAAGTAGAGACGACACGTTTATTCATTCGATTCAGAATGACTTACCTCAATGAAATTATTTTGTCATATGAACTTTTTATTCGTATTTGGTTCAGTTGAACTTTGGCTATTCGAATTTTAGATCAAAAATACGAATCTCAAGACTTTATATTAAAAAAATTCCTTCTTCAAAGAACGAGTATGCGCGATACTTACTTTAGTATGAGAAAAATTATATGCAAACTAGAATGACTTTTAAACGCTTTTAATTTGACCATCTGTTTTATTATTTGCATAAATATAAAAAGTAAAATAACAACACTTTTTTTGTTATATAATTAATATCAATATTATATTATTAGGTTGTCAACAAAGTTTTGGCGTTTTTTTTCAAAAATTTTATTTTTGTTTTTTGACTTCAAAAGTACAACTAGTTTTCAGATATATATTTACCATTGCTATCTACCACTTGTCGCCAACGTTCTGGTAGAGACATGATCCCGCGTTCGTAGAAGTCTTGGGATTTTTCATCAAAGAATTTGATAAGTTCTGTTTTGACGTCGCTCTCGTCCTTGAACTTTTTATCACGTAGATCATTCGAAAGAGAACGAAACAAATGGTAGTCTGTTGGAGCCAAGTCTGGAGAATAAGGCGGATGAGGAACGGTGGCCCAACCAAGCTTCAATAATTTTTCACGGGTCGACTTTGCAATATGTGGTCTTGCGTTATCATGTAAAAAATAAACTCGATCCTGTCTTCCCTTGAGTTTTTCAGCTACCCGATCCAATTGTTGACAGTATAGATCAGCAGTGATGGTGTAACCATTTGGTAGAAGTTCCCAATGAATAACTCCTTTAATACCCCACCAGACACTCAGCATCAACTTCTTAGGATGTGGATCAGTCTTCGGTGTTGCTACGCCTGTTTGACAAGTGCTCAACCACTGACGTCTACGCGTGTAATTAACATACAACACCCACTTCTCATCGCCAGTAATTAGATTGGATAACCATTGATAGTTGCGATGAGATGTGATTAAATCCATACAAGTATCAACTCTCTGTTGCAGTTGATGTGATGATAATTCACGAGGTATCCATACTCCATATTTCCAGGTCTTGCCTAATTCTTTCAGATGTTTTTCCACCGTAGTATGAGAACACTCAAGCTGCTCTGCTAAACCCCGTAAAGTCGATCGAGGATCTTCTTTGATAAGCTGCTTTAAAAGATCCATATCCAGTTCCATCGGTCTACCGGATCGAGGTAAATCGTCGAGTTCTGAATCCCCATTCTTGAAATGATTGAACCAACGTTGCGCGGTACGAGTGGAGACTAGACTCTGGCCCATTGTACTGCATATGTTGTTGGCTGCTTCCGTTGCTTTGCGGCCCAAACGAAATTCGTGAAGTAAAAGCACTCGAATCTCTTTATGAGAAAGATTGATTTTTGGTCCGACATCAACATCCATATCAATGATTTTTTTGTCATCCGAAAGACATTCATGTCCTATATATATACCCTAGTATGGAAACTTCTAGAACTTTCTAGGTTGTTCTCAAAGATTTTAGAAAAAAAACACCAGAACTTTGTTGACAACCCAATATTTAAAATTTTTCGATAATAATTTTCGTTCATATTCTTTATTTATCAATAATATATTACTATTGATGAAAATAAAATCTGTTTGTGTTATATTAATCAATGATAAATATTTCAAAAAGTATAGATTATACTACATTATTTATTATTCAAGAATACTTTTGGATAAATAAAATCATTGATATTTATTCTCGTTTGATAAAGTATTCAAAAATTCATGCAAGTTAATTAATATACTGAATGCATGAAATAATGTCTGATAGAGAATTCCATCGAAATCGATATTCTCTTGTGTTTTTATTATTTTAATAATATAAATGGCATAACATACGTCATCGGTACTCTATGTTTTGACTGTAGATTATTTTCTCAAGCTGTCGATAAAATATTGATAT